CGTACAATAGTAAATAGTCAGTCCGTAGATGAGTCTTTGGATTATCAAATGTCCGGTTTAACCAAATATTCGCATTATGAAATCATGTACAAGGTCAACTGTCATTTTGGGACCATGTAAGCGTTCATAACAATAATCGCACGACTGTTAGGGTTTCCGCATCAACAAAATTCCGGAATAACGAAGATTTACTATTTAATCCGTCTTCTACATTGCCACACCATAGAACGCCACGACAGCACAGGAAGATATTATTCTTAGCTCACTGCGTTGAGCAACCCTGGAATGGTTTCATGCTATGCCATAGTTTCGCAAACCTAAACGTACAACGCCATGCCAAGAGGATAGCCGAGATCAATGCTGCTGCGTCCTGTGAATGTTGATTACATGTGAAGTTCCATCATCAGCTTTGCCAAGTTGGAATAGATTATTCAAGGCTCAGTTTTACGTTGTTTGAATATATATTTAAGGCCCAGCTATTATGATGTTTGAATCGATTATTTAAGAGTCAGCTTTACGTTGTGTGAATAGATTTTTCAAAGCTTCAGCATTATGACATTTGAACAGATTTGCCCGGTTCATTATTCAAATTTCATTTTATGCCGTCAATATATGTTTCATTTTCAGCTATTAATCTTGAATAGAATATTTCAGGTTCTAAAACCTGCCTTTTATTTAGAAAATGGTAATTAATTTTAGTAAGTCAGTTTCGAGGGATGTTACAGTTCGCGAAGGCTATCCTCAGTTACACCTTGACCAGCATCATTCGTTTGGATTCTTTCACAGACTTGAGACTTGCAGAAGTTTTTTATATTTGATAGTTTATCAGTATGCTTGGCATTCCAGTATTGTTCTCCTTTGTGAAATTTAATGTTAATGACGCCCTCATGAAATAGAACCTCAAAACGTGTGGAATGCTCTCATTAATTCAACTCTCAAGTCAGATAAACCTTTTATCCGTCACGAAACCATTCCTTACTTTGCGCGTCACCATATTTCGGCCGCAGTCATCAATCATATCGCTGCTGAATTGAAAAGAGTTCCCGACAGAGCTAAATGGAAGGTCTCACCTTCTGCTGAACCCAATCAGTCTACACCTTCGTGAAAGGCACCAAACAGTCAGCACCTGGGTTGGGATTTTATTCCGGATCTTCATCCTTTGATTAGTACAAATATTCCACCATCCTGGTAACTTTCACCCATAATGAACTGGCACATCACGTTCTGTCACTGGGAGTTAGAGTCTTCAGTTCTTGCTTCACATCTTCATCCTCATCTTCGTGATTAGAGATGGTAATCTTTCATCATGAAGTCTAACGATGTCGTATAATTGACCTGACAAATGCGCCGTACATCATGACAGACCATGGCAAGACTTAAAAGTGTGGGTCTGCAAATGGGTACGACAATCAACGTGTAATCTATATATTATTAACACTATCTCGTTTTTGTATCCAAGGTTGGCACCGGAAATATTTTTAAAGCACGCACTTTATTAAATGATTATATATTTGCACAGCCATTAAAATATATAAAACATTTCCAACAGGAGTATCCCCACACAATTAAGTCTCGTTCAAACCATCAACTCCGTGTGTAAATACATTGCAAGTGATTCCCTATCATTAGGTTGGCTATTAATATTGCGTTTATGCTACCATAAACATCGGCCACACCAACTAGCGAGCTGCTGTTTCCTAGTAACAGAGTGGGCATAACATTACACAAAAGGGTCAATCCCATGTATATATCATATGTCAGAATACAGATCAAATATTTTTTAGCTGCAGCTACAAAACCAGATATTTTTTTATTTTAAACGATGAGCCTTATTTTTTGAAAGAAAAACACCTTGCAACGATACAATTCTTGTGGCAGGCAATTTCGGTTTTTTTAAAAGTCTGAACCAGTGACTGAAAGTATGAGCAACGGTCCACCCCAACGATATCACCTGACCACCCGATCCCTATTTCACTCGGCTCATTCCATCAGCTGACTATTGAAGATCGGATGGTATAAGCGATCTGGTTGATTGTGTGTGGCCATTCCCGGTGGAGTGGACCATTGGTCTTCCTACTAAATGTTTGCTATGTCCAGATTCAACATAACCTGACTATTGCTGACTGCGGCATAACCAACACCCACTCACCATTTTAAAATGTCTCTATCACCAATCAATCGAATCCTATATGAAATACTTTGCTTTAAAATTGTACTTGTGATTGTTAGCTATCCGTCCACTTTTTTCTAGCCATAATAGTCAACCCTTATCTAATTAAAATCGGGCCCCGTGAAGATCTGGGTTAGAATAAGTCTTTAGCAACCTATGCTTGTCATAAGAGGCGACTAACGGGATCGGGTGGTCAGGCTCGCTGACTTGGTTTGATGCATGTCATCGATCCCAATTGCACTGGATCGATGTTCATGATATCAATCACTGGATCGTCTGGTCCAGACTCAATTATTTACAGACCGCCGTCATATAGCTGGAATATTGCTGAGTGCGGCGTTAATCAACAAACAAACAAAACAAACAAACATCATTAAAACCAGATCTTTTGCGCCGACACCTTTTTCGTGTGAAGATTAGAGGAACCTCTATGGGAGGTTGCGTCAAGTGAACTTTCTTATCATCCATCACCGTCGAGGCTTCTGACATCTCGGCAAGAGTGAGTAAGGCATTCGGACAAGAATATCTGATTTCTGTATCTCTAAAAGAAATAATAAGAGGCTTCGGAATTCACCTAATTAATCTATCCTATCCTCTGACTATCGCTGCACCTCTACTACAACCCATCTAAACTTGCACCACACCCTTATTCTCTACAACAGTACAAATCTAGGACATTTCAACTTGAACCTATGACCCTTTGATGGTCCCGATCAAATAGGTATTTCGTATGAGTATGTCTTCTTGATAACCATGGGACCGGTGAAGATCTGGGGAAAATAGGTCTTCAGCAACCCATGCTTGCCGCAAAAGGCGACTGTGCTTGTCGTAAGAGGCGTTTAACGGGATCGGACGGTCAGGCTCGCTGACTTGGATTGGTGCATGTCATCGATCCCAATTATATTGGATCGATGCTCATGTTGTCAATCACTGGATTGTCTGGTCCAGACTCGATTATTTACAGACCACCGTCATGTAGCTGGAATATTGCTGAGTGCGGCGTTAAACAACAAACATACAAACAGACAACCACCCATTGACATTAGTGCTAGAATATGTCCCCAGCAACATATGCTTGCCGTAAGAAGCGACACAATTGACCGGGCTAGGTGACTTGGTTGATTGCATGTCTTCGTGGGCCGTTGGTCAATAAATCAATCACTGGTTTGTCCGGTCCTGATTCGATTTTCACAAGTTGCCACAATATAGCAGCGTTAAATGTTTGTTTGTTTGTGTGTTGTTTATTGCCGCACTCAACAATATTTCAGCTATATGACGGCAGCGTTAAATGACATCAATTAACACGTAAGTACACATTAGTTTACTGAGGACTAAGACTTACTACTCTCACCCGGCTCCCTCCGGGGTTACTTAAGGAAGGTTTGATGACTACACATAGCAAAATTGAAACATACATTTATACATATAAGATTCGAGGTAAAATTGGTCTTCAGCAACCCATGCTTGTCGTTAAAGGCGACTATGCTTGTCGTAAGAGGCGACTGACGAAATCGGGTGGTCAGGATCACTGACTTGGTTGATGCATGTCATCGTATCCCTATTGCCTAGATCGATGCTCATGATGCCAATCAGTGGATTGTCTGGTCCATACTTTAGTATTTACAAACCGCTGTCATACAGCTGAAATATTTCTGAATGCGGCTTTAAACAACAAACACCATTAGTTCAGCTTAAGAGACGTTACCGTATCGATTAATACTATATCCCCATCTCTACAGTACTGCATACTGTCCATGTGCTTCATCACCCGATAGAATTCAAGAACATCTTTTTTTTGGAAAATAATGCATGGGAGTGTCCGCTTTCGAAATAGGGTTCTTCCTCTGGAGCTACCAGTGAACATGCAAACATAAGAATTGATGTACAAGAAAATTCAATGACAAGGCCCCGTTTCTATCAGGCAGTTGAAATTACTCAAAACACATGACGTTTAGAACATCCTCCGCTAATCTGAAGCCATGTAGCGTCTGAATAGACTGCTCAGCTTCATAGTCTGGTAGTTCCCATGGGTCACCTTCCCGACAACACGTGGGACGATATCGGCGCGACCATCAGATTCTGTTTGCTACAGAGGAGCTTATAACAGGAAATTGAAAGCTTTTGAATAACATATCTTGTGGGAAATGAAAGCCATCGCATGAGATAACGGTTTCCTGTTTCGTTAATCTGCTCATTATTTTTCGCATGGTATTAACTCCAAATGCACGCAACGCCTTAATAAGAGTATTGTTGGTGAGTGCGTAACCTGACAATTAGCCATCAGATATTTTTTAGATGTAATACTCCCAATGGACCTGTTGCCATTTCATTTGATATAAAGGACTGGGCATTTTTTATAGGGGGGGGGGGGGGGGGGGGGGGGTGGGGTTGGTCGGTGGGGTTGTTCTTAGGGCTGTATCATATTTTGCTGATACCTCCCCACCCCCTATTGTATATAACATTATGTCATGCCCTCGTCCCACCCCAAATACATGTATAATTTTGTCATGCCCCTTTCCTAAAACACACAGACATTTACATAACTTAACATAACAATCCCAAATGGTAAAACGACTCGGAAAATATGTCAGGAAGATGACTTTCGAACATCGCCATCGAACACAGCCATCGATGTGAGCCTTAGAGTTAAGACTGGCAAACGAACCCGGGATATATGCACTGAAAGCAGTCGAGTTATTACTCAGAACACTGCCCAGTTGTGATGATGTGTAGTTATTGACAGAATCCGACATGGTTATTTGACATGACAAGCCAATGTTTGCATAATAACACGATTCCATAATGTTCCGATAAAGCAACAAATCATTAATTTGTTCACGCCGTTTACTGATAGAGAAGTATGTACATGATATACCAACATATCACATCATTTTATCAACATATATCATAATTTTATCAACATATAGTCCTCACCTGTTAATAGGGATATTTTGGTATAATTGTGTCCCTATGAAAAGTCGAGTAGTATATATTATCATCATGGTATCGACAATTATGTGATCAATATTATATTAACTATCATACAACACCACACGACACATGCACAGGCACAGAAAGTCAGGAATTAAGGACTCCCAGTCTATTTTACAAGAACTGCTACCTTCAGTTCGTGGTGTATGAATGACTTTCGTTGTAGAACCAGTCAGTGCAATTTGAAAAAGTTTCTGCGACGTAATTGAGACAACTCTACTGCCTTACACGAAAAACTCTTCTTCCAATACATGGATACAATTTTAGGCAGGAATGTTTTACTTAAAAGTCAACGAGTCAAATGATAGGGGTATCGGTTGGTAAAAGAGAACCCACCGTCGTCACTGTATCAACGTTCAGCGTGTAAAAACGCCACGCGGACTGTTCTCGACGTCAAGGTGAAGGTCACGGCGTCTCCTGGAACACCGATGAGGATATCTTTGCAACACTTTTCTTGCATAAGGATTGGATGAGACAAATAGTTCCGTAGGATTTTTGGGAAACATGGATGTCCGTACGGATGGCATGGCAACTGTAGAATACCGTACATGCTCTTTGTGGGGTTCCATCAGTTTAACGAACAACTATGTCTTTTAGGAGGATCGAGCTGTCGTCGCTGTACCAACACTGCCGGCATGGACCGACGTCGACGACGAACGGCTGGGCTGAGGGCATATTGAATATTGGACTGTCGTAAAATTTCTTTGAAAATGCCAACAATGTTGATATTGTCTTTGGCTGAGGCTTCAATATAACCGTTCCCCCATTCAATACATACAAGCGTCTCGGCCGTCTCACGCCCGATAACCCTCCGCTCTTCGGTAACGTCCGTCTTGTTGGCGGCGATGACGATGGGAACGTCTTCGCTGTTCTTCTCTTCTATGATCTCGTCACGGAGTTGTTTCACAGCTGAGAAAGAGGAATCATCGTCCACAGAATACACCAGCACAAACGCGTCCCCGGTGGCTATAGCTAGTTTCCTCATAGCCGGGAATGAATGCGTCCCCGACGTATCGAGGATGTCGAGGATGAGGTGCATGCCGTTCACGTCGTACTCCCCTCGATGGAGGTCCTCAACCGTGGCCTTGTACTCCTTCACGAATCTATCGTACAGAAACTGAGAGATGATCGCACTTTTCCCGACGGCCGCCGCCCCCATGACGACGATACGGTAGTGGGCCCTGCTTTTCGGGAGACGATGACCACCCCGTGGACACAGCTGCCCAGTGGAGGGTCGACCTGACGACAACATTTCTGCGAAAGATGCCGACAGCCTCCGCTGTATCTGAAATATGTAAGCCAACTGTCAATCGAACACGGTAAAAAAACCTCGTTAAATCTCACTGCTCACATGTGTGGACAAAAGGTATAGTCACACTGACAGACTAACCCCGGTGAAAGACGAACACTGCATTACTGAGTCCGAGCAGGGATTATATGACACGTCTATCGACTTCGATTGTAATTGGTTGTGATTGATATACATTAGGATCAATATTCATACACAGATACCGATGCTGCGGATTGATTGGGGGTATTTTATGATTATTTTTCGGAGTTTGTAGGAAATGGACTGCCTGCAATATGCTTTTAGTGTCCAAGTGGGAATTAATGAAGTATGCTTCACTTACCTGGGTACTGGAACACTGCCCCGTCTTTACAGCGACGGTCTCCAGACGCAGAATGGATGGATGAAGGGATGGGTGGCGCCAAATGACCAGTGACAAAGGTGATCCGACAGCACGACGCTCGACGCTTCAGAGTTGACACGGAAGAGCTGCAAGATGTATTTAATGACAGTCAAGCTGCGAGACGCCGGGATATATCGATCAGCAGATCAACACGTACCTCGACCAAGGGAGGTCTTGCGGTAGAAATGGGGAATCACAACGCTTGGGAGGGGGAGTAGGGACACTTATGCCCTCAGTACAAGTCAGACTCCAAACCTCGAGGTGTTACCCGAGACACGCGCTGGTCACATAGGCATGATGACGTCACGACTCACCCCTAGCCCACATCCCGCCTGAAGCTGTGTTCTAATTAATGAAGCTCGGGCGAAACCGGTAGGGGGTGACAAGTGATTATAGCTGGAAGTCAGTCAGCACATAGTGGATTCAACGCCGCACCCGGTAACATCACCAGAATAATTCGTCATCTCTTTGTCCTTCATGCATTCAAAGGTTCAGAATAGTTGCAACAGTTCAATGTAAAGTCCCCGGTATCTCTAAGTAATAGTGCTACGAATAAAACATGGAAATACCGCGCCGACACAACTTGACCGGGCGGAAAGGAAAATATGTTATCTCCGAGTCTGGCGACACCGGGATATTACGACAACCAATCTTTTGAAATAGGTAACTCGACGCTACTGGTCTATCTGCTGGCATTGCTCCCCTGTGGTAACGTCAGTGGTAATAGATGCCATTAATGGCTCTTTCAAACATGAGGAAACGCGAAGATAATCATCTTTGTCAGCTGCTCGTCCTTAATCCAAATGTGCTTCTTGGAAGTCTCGTCAAAATATAGTCTTGGGATTTCATTTGATTTCACCGAATGCAGTGTTCGGTTTAGATTTTAGCAAAAAAATGTTGCTTTTTTCAGATGTATAATCTAATGCGGTCTCCTTTCACCGTCAGTTAGGTTTTTGGCACGTAACGAAATCATAGAAAACAGCGGAACTATTCCATTAGAGATGAAACGTGTTTTAATATTCCCCGAATAAAAGGTCGGATTTACGTGAATGGTAAACACACTATAGGGATTACAAGCTACAAGGAAAGCCCGAATGTCTCTGATGTGTAAGCATCGCGCCTCCATAGACAGTTGTCTATAAACAATACTTCTGCGTATCTAACTTTTCTGAGTTGTTGAAACCCCGCATCCAATCCGCTCCATGTTAACGCTGCACTCAGCAATATTCCAGCTGTGATGGCGGTGTGAAGTAATCGAGTCTAGACCACAATCCAGTGAGTGATATTATGAGCAACGATGCATATGTCGGGGCACGATGACACGCAATCCACCGAGTCTGACCACCCGATTTATCTGATCGCCTCTTACGACAAGCATAGATTGCTGGGGAGCAACTAAGCATGTGGTGGATGTAAATTGTGTTTGCTTACTGGTGGGTTATTAGGTGTTGAACTGTTAGTCTTTCTGTAGCCATCAGTAGGACATCAGTAGGACATCAGTAAGACATCCTATATATTATTAACGTATTTGTACGTACTGTACATACGGAGGGGCAGAGACACAGACTCAGGGTCAAAGCCCAGCCATGAACTCTGGTGTAAAGCATAATTGTAACTTAACATTATTAACATTATTCCCGCATTAACCAACGAATTAATGTTCCAGATCTATTCTAATCATAAATATTGGATTTTAATTTGTTTTCCTCAATTCCGTTGTCCTATTGGACACATAAGACCATGCGTGGCCCTCTTGCGATGACAAACTCCACGGTCTTGTGGACAGTGCGGAAATTCGGTGGTTCGATTCAGTGGCCGCGTCATAACAAAAGACGTTAAAAGATGGCACTTGCTGTTACCCTGCCTGGCACTCTGGCATTTAGGGCCTTGTTGGGTTCATGAAAGCAGTAAACATCTACGAACAATTTGGGATTTCCTCTTTTATTTATTCTGACACACCATGAGATAAACTGATATACTAGTCAAAGCAGCGTATAACCCAACCGTTTATAATAATCTCTACAAAGACAATATTTTTGTTTGTTGTTTACGCCGCGCTCAGCACTATTCCAGCTATTTGATGGCGGCCTGTAAATAATCGAGTCTGGACCAGGCAATCCACTGATTGACATCAAGAGCATCGATCTACGCCATTGGAATACGATGACATGCATCAACCAAGTCAGTTAGCCTGACCACCCGATCCCGTTAGTCGCGACAAACTCTTACCACAAACAAAATGGCCTCTTACGACAAGCATGGGTTGCTGAAGACCACTTGACCACAATCACATAAAACTGTTAGTTTCGTCAAATGGAAAATAAAACTTGGTGATACAAAATCCAAAGTGTTTGAAGATTCTGGAATAACTGTTCTAGGGTTTGAGGGCCTGGGATTTATGTCAGAGTCATTCTATATTTTTCCTCTGTGAACAATTGAATATTTCTCAGGGCATCAACCATGTCCAGGGAATATTAATTGTGGCGGTAAATTATTTTGTAACAGTCTCATTCCTCGCCGAGGCGATATAATAAACAGGGAAAACGCGATCCAACACAACATCCTCATCAACATGCCGGTTGGCTTGTCCTAATTGCCACAAATTGCCCAGAACAGTGTGCGGTGTCAGCACAGACAGGGCTAAGCCATCGATTGTGGCCCACTGTGTTGTGTACGCGGGGATGAGCAATATTGAAACAAACATGGAAAATGTCAGTTTGACGAGCACGTGACACCCGCCTCGGAAAATTTCAATAATTGGGAAAAAGGTGTCGGTTCTAAATTATATGGAATTAAATTGTCACTGAGTAAAGAAATTGACCGATACAGCTTGAATGGCAGGCAGATAAAGTCACGCTTGATAGGTGCGGCCGTGTCGTTGTCACGGTTACGTCAAGATAAGTGATGACATGTTTGTGTAAGAATTGATGTGAGAGCGGCTAGTCGTGGTCATGTTGGTCAGTTGCCTGTGAGCAGTCCCTGTTGATATTGTGCTTGCGTATACATGTCTGCTCAGCTTGATAGTTACCTCACTTATCCACTGGTTCGTGTCAGTTAGCGAGTGAGTGAGTGAGATGGGTTTAACGCCGCTTTGAACAGTATATCAGTTATATCATGGCATGTTAGGTTGATGTGAGAGATATACACGATATAATGCAGGTCTTAGACGTTTACCACTTTAGAGACGCTACTTGCAAAGGTATGGTGCTTCTGATATCTAGAAATATAGTCAGAACGAACCGGGATTCGAACCCACGATCATAGGTTCCTTGCATGCCTGAGGGACGCAACTCTGCAGGGAATAGTGCGCCCGGGGCTGATGTAACAAGACACACATTTGATGGGTGGTTGTGGGTACATGAGGAAGAGAACTGAACGTTTGCAGGAACCAAACGGGCACAAACACCGGGTGTTCGTTCTTGTCATATGTATTTGTTGTTTAACGCCGCACCCAGCCATATTCCTGCTATATGACGGTTGTCCTATACATAATCAAGTATGTACAAGACAATCAAGTGATTGATGTCATGAGCATCGATCTACGCAGTTGGGATACGACATGTATCAACCAAGTCAACGGGCCTCACCACGCGATCCCGTTAGTCGCCTCTTACGACAAGCAAGGGTTGCTGAAAACCCATTCTAACTTGATTAGATGATATGGACCATATGTTTATAAACAAATTTCTAATTCTTTTTCAGTAATCTCCATTTATAATCGTTTAACTTGAAGGATATTATTTCTGTTTGATAATAATGTCGTGATCACGAAACCGCACGGCTAAAACTCCGTCCCAAGTCGACTACTTTAAACATTTAAAACGTAATAAAATGAAAGAATAGTTGGTTGTTGGTGGTCGTTGCTGTACAATATATGGGGCCCGTGATGGTTCAGGGGTAGGATAGGTCTTCAGCAACCCATACTTGCTGTAAAAGGCTATGCTTGTAGTAAGAGGTGACTAACGGGATCAGGTGGTCAGGCTCGATGACTTGCAGGTCATCGATCCCAATTGCGTGGATCGATGCTCATTATGTCAATCACTGACAATCACTGGTCCAGACTCCCTTATTTACAGACCGCCGCCATATAGCTGGAATATTGCTGAGTGCGGCGTTAAACGGCAAACAAACACACTAACAAATACAATATATGGTAGTTTCAAACCTGGACTGAGAGAATTGTATCTCAAATATCAGATAAAATACAGTGTAGTCACTGATAATACTTACATGAATGTTAAGATTGGTATCCTAGGTAACAGAGTAGGTGTCCTAGGTTACAGAGGAGGTGTCCTAGGTAACAGAGGAGGTGTCCCACATGACAGAGGAGGTACCCCCTGAATCACTGCAATGGGGGCTCAGCTAGAGCGTAATCAATGGCGCTGTCCTCATGTTGAGGGAATGTCCGCCAATATCTGTCGATGTTCTCTGACGCCACAGAGTGTATTGATTGTCAGTGGTTCAAATAGACACATAACCTATACAATGTGTTATGTGATGGAACGGCAAACACAGGCACTTCGAAGTCGCCCGGAATATCGGGGTGTCGGAGTCAGCCGATAAAAGAACTTCATCGTTCTCCTCGTGATTAACATAATATATTAAAATACATATAATAACTATAATATAGCTGTTCCATGTTCAGCGGCTTTTCATCTTGTTTTGCATACATGCATAATGCTTTATTGAAAGCTGTATTAAAATATTGTTATGTGATTTATCTATGACGCAACAACGGGTCTTATCTGCCTCTTACAAGGTCTGTTTGTTGTTTAACGCCGCACTCAGCAATAGTCCAGCTTTATGACGGCGGTCTGTAAACAAAATCGAGTCTGTACCAGACAATCCAATGGTTGATATCATGAGCTTCGTCCACGCAATTGGGGCGATGACTTGCATCACCCAAGTCAGGGAGCCTGACCATCCGATCCCGTTAGTCGCCTCGTACGACAAGCATAGTCGCCTCTTATAACAAGCATGGGTTGTGGAAGTGTAACCCGGATCATCCCGGGTGTATTGACTATGTACAGGTGCAGGTGATATCGCTGAACAAATCATCACTGTACCGCAAAACAAGATTCACTCGTACTTGCATACACCTTATCCCTATGTGAAGGAGATACTGTGGTTCAGTGTGATAAATTAGTATTTTCGTTTTACCACGGCCACAAAGTCGACACCGATATTAATTGCCCCGAGCCAATGTAGCTGTCTGTATTCGTAACAAGAGATCAGATTTAATTAAAAACTAAAGACATATTCTTTACAAGCACTGATTCCTTCCACTGGTAAATAAACCAGGCCCCTCGGGATATCTATTTAAAGAACACAACCAGGACGGCTACGTAGACATAACGAGTGTTTTACACACAAGGACAGCCGCAGTCAATTTTACTGAAACAATACGAACGCATCGTTATGGCTAATGTGTGGTGGTGGACTTGTGCAATCTGCATTAAGCTGAAACGTCGCATACAGCTGAAATGTAAATACAGAGCGACGTTAAATACGAACATCTTAAATTGTGTCTGCTATTCATGACCAGTGTATGTATATCTGGACTGTTTCGTTCCTTGTGGGAAACTGCGACATTGCTTCTGTGTAATTAGGGTATGGTACGGTAATACTTTCTTGGGGAATTAGTCACCGGACATGATCGTGCGTTCAACTGTTGTGTTCAGATACTTTTGACAGTTAACTGTTTGTTTGTTGTTTATCGCCGCACTCACCAATATCCCAGCTATATGACGGCGGTCTGTATATAATCGAGTCTCGACAAGACAATCCATTTACTGAGATCATGAGCATCGATCTATGCATTTGGGATACGATGACATGCATCAACCAAGTCAGCGAGTCTAACCACCCCATCCCGTTAGTCGCCTGTTACGACAAGCATGGGTTGGTGAAGACCTATTCTTACCCGGATCTTCATGGGTAGACAGTCAATAATATAATCACGAAGTCTGTAGATATGGAGACTATACAAGTTATTTTGTAATTAAGAAACTTAACAGGGTAAACAATTGTCATAGTTTGAACAAAAAAAGACAAAAATGTCAGAGAACCTCTGTCCAAACTGAACGTTTCCTAATCCGACATGTATTTCTAGTCCAAATCGATGTCGGTTCCGACAGACTCGCATTCAGTGAATAAGTGAGTTCGGGTAATTTTACACCCTAGTCAGCCATACTCAATCTGCATTCACGACGGCTTGAAAATGAATCCCTGGTTGGCTCTGCCGGGGCTCGATGAGACACAATCACCATGACAACCACTCAATCCTCAGTAGTCAGCTCATACGACAAACACTGGTTAACAGGGTCCAACTTTGTTTATACTCAGTGATTCAGTTTCAGACCCACCAGAAATATACTTCAGTAAGTTATTCAATAAAACGAAGCGACAAAACCCTTTCCATAATCGCAAGAAAAGATCTGCAAACACAACAGTACGATCCCGACTGTCGTATGCATTGCTTCTGAATCACTATCAAGTAGTGATGATACCAGGTGTTCACGAACAGGTGAAACTGTCCGGCCCCAACGTTGGCATTCGTCATAAACACACGCAAAGGCAAGTCAAGTGTCCAACGAAGAAACACAAGAACATATGGTACATGTCAAAAGAGGGGATTGCATCGGACATTATTTTGGTCTTTGATAAATGATATGTTAAACTGATCTAAACATGTCTGCCACAACCACATTGAAAGCTTTACTGAAGCATTGATCGCTGTAACCCTGATCAAACAACATTTAGACAAGCGTCGTATCGCTCTGCACGAGAAACATATGTCTTGTAACACAGGGGTTATGTAAATATGAATTATCATATGAAAATGGACATAAAGCGTAACAGATACTTGTAACGACGATGAAGCACCATGCAAATACACCTCACATGCAAAACAAAACAAGCATTGCTGGAAAAATAAACAAACCACAATGACCCACATAAAATTCGCACTGATCCAACTCTAGCAGTTGTCTTCAGGCAACAAGCTACTGTCAGCCAACGTGATGTTCGTATGGACATGAGGTCAGATAGGATTTGGAAGTTCTCAGCCGGAGCGGCTTACGCTGAAACTAGCCATCTTAACATCCGGTCACTTGCCACTTACCGGCTTTCCTTACAACGCATTAGCTCCTCACAACGTTAACACTCCAACCAGGCGTCGCTTTCAATCCCATCACGTATCGAGACCAAGTTCATGAGATAATCCTTGAGGTTGTAAAGTGTTCATGGTTGACACAAGACGCGGCGTGTTCATATCTTTCACAGTAACTGATTGGAGCAATTACTAAGCAAGGAGTAGAGGTGCTAATCCAAGAAGGCGGCTACATCCATCGATATGAAAGCGTGCACTTTACAAGGTAAAAGTAGATTATAGAAATCCAATTCCAACTAAAACAATACTTTAAGACAGATCTTTGCACTATCATGAGGCCAGGCTACTGTCTGATTACAGCAACTGTCCATGATGGCATTTTGATGAATTTACAAAACAAGTTTCGGTAAAAACATTTACGACAAGCATAGGCGCCTTTTACGGCAAGCATGGGTTGCTTACGGCCTATTCTAGCCCAGATCTGCACGGGTTCAGAAATGTTCGGAATATAGGTGCCGAACATCTGGAATGTGAAGGTCGTGAAAGAGCATTCAAAGATTTCTACGCAACATTCATACCTAATCCATCTATTTGACGGTGGACTGTATACAATCGAGCAATAACGGACAGGGCAAATCGCTGGCAGCACGATTCCCGCCGTCAGGGTACGATGACGCAATCAAACATGTTTTTGCCGTGAAGGGGGAACGATATATTTTTTTCTTTCAAAACACTTATTTCAGGACAGCGAACACTACAAGTAAAACCCTAGGATAAAAGGTCGGTCCCAGCACTGAGAAAAAGGCCCAGTGAATCTAAGGACTGCTTAAGTAGTAACAGCGGTCAGAAGGTTAGTAACCAGCGAATTTACCATCCTGCCTGGTAGATTGCACGCGGCACCAAGGCCACGTGACATTGCTCATTCCACCATGGTCAGAGGCAACAGGGAGATGATTATGCTTGTTTGTTTGTTGTTTAACGCCGCACTCAGCAATATTACAGCTATGAGTCGGAGTGTTATGTGGAAATTGGCCTTGTAATCGTGTTAATGTGATGTTTTCATGACTGACAAAATATAAACGTTCATATCATGTACTCAATAAAGAAGGAGGGTTTGTTAAGTTTGCCTGTACCAGTGTAAAAAAAGATTTGTTTATTTTATTTACAAGTCAATTTTGTAGTATTATGTAAATATACATAAAATGTCACTGAAAATCATTAAATGGTATATTTCGCCTGTATTCTTTATGTTATTTGTTCTTTACATGTTTTAGTAAATTGTATTCATCAGCTGTCAACAGGGATCGCAGAATGACTAAGAAACGAGCCTTTAATAAAGTGTAGAAAACAAGCTTACAAGCTATAAGCTTCGTAAATATACTATTGCAGTTGGCAAATTGTGAGGAGAACACAAGTAAATATCACTTATTAAAACAGTACTTTAAAAGAGGATAGTAATCTCTACTAACTGATCTATATGCTATATGAAGGCGATCTGTAAATAATCGAGTCTGGACCAGATAATCCAGTGATTGATATCATGAGCATCGATCCACGCAATTGGGATCGATGACATGCATCAACCAAGTCAGCGAGCCTGACCACCCAGTCCCATTAGTCGTCTTTTACGACAAGCATAGTCACCTTTTACGGCAAGCTTGGGTTGCTGAAGACCTATTCTACCCCGGAATCTTCGCGGGTTCATAATTATGTAGTTTCAAATGGAGAATAACAATAATTGCGCCATGTTGTCGATATTTTTACATTTTGTCGTTTCTGAACTTCATAGGCTGTTCAGACCGAAATTTCCGATTCAGCTTCCCAGCAGAAATAGAATCAGATCGCCTTAAAACTTTGAATGCAGCGAGGAAGAATGGTTTCAGAAAGCTGACATCTGATTGGGCCTAACCCCGATGCATCCTGCATTTGTATTCGTGGTGAAAGTTCGACCTGGGTTCACCTGGCGTGAGCCCCTAAAGCAGGATTGTCTGATCTTGACAGGGAAAGGCAGAGAGTAGTACATGTATCTGATTGAAGATACAACACAAATGTTAGCTGATGCAGAGAGCTCCTTGGAAGAGGCAAAATGAGCCGTGTTTCTCCACATGACGTCATTGACTACTCTCATTCTTCATGTGATTATATTAAGTGTCCTTGTCAAGAAAAGGTCACAGCAATTGCCATGGCATGCAAACACACTGTCAAAGTATTGTCGGATATGACCGATAAAACAAGATAGAATGTTTCACAGACTCTTGCTGTTGAAATATCGAATAAGTACCGATCTACCTACCTGTGGTTTGAAGTATTTCAGTCACAAGGAGTCCTGTCGACAAGTTTACAGGAGAAAAATTCGAACGAACGGTTTATTCCGAGTCCAAT